GCTTAAAATGCCCGTAAACAGATTATTTAGCGCCAAAAAAAAAAAAGGCCGCTGAACGAGAATTTTTTTCAAATACACAGCAATGAAAAAGGCTAACGGCCGATCAATTAAGTCTAAAAATCGCCCGTAATTAGGCCTAGCTCTGAAAAAGGCCACTGAACGAGCATCACTAATTATATAAACGAATAGGCCACGCAGCGTTGACGAGGTTAACCACCGGTCACGAATTAAATTCAATGCAGCTACTGTCGGCCCACAGTGAAGAAAAAAATCAATATACTAATAAAATTACTAATACAATAATAATGTCCATAATTTTACTTTTTCCGCACATGCTACAATTGAATTATAATTAAAATACTAGACTTAACAGTTCATTCCGCAAAAAACAAAAACTAGTTGTTTCTGTCTGGCAACTAGCGTAACAATGACGCAACGTTACTAAAAATAGCAGAGAGAAATTGTCGCATGGTTACTTACGGGGTAATTGGATTTTTGGTAAAGATCATCCATAATACTGTAAATATACATGGTAAATATCTCAATTATATATTAATCTACTGTTATACGGGCCGTTTTCCCGGTTATACTGTCGTTTTTGGCCGCGGTTCAGTTTATACGGAGAGTGCTCCACTAGAAATCCTCTCATTATTTACATCTACAATTCTAGCGATTTTTTCTGGCATTCTAATGCATATTATCCATATTATTAGCATCTTGTGTTAAAATAATGATAAGAATGTGCGAGATTAACAGCTTTTTCATTTGTCGTGGATAGGACCCCTAAAATAAACGTAAAAACCGTCAGAAAACGACGCGTGACATTTCAGGGTCAGAGGTCAATCCAGCCATCTAAGCAATGAGGCGGCCTAATAAAAGGCATTAAAAGGGGAGAAAATTGGGTAATCTATCGTTTTAGGTACGTAAAATCGCCCGCGACTAGTAATGTGAAAAACAGGTGACTCCTTGCAACCATCTAAGCAATGAGGCGGCCTATCATTTATTACTGAAAAGTTTTAACTCAATTGTTTAAAAATCAGGTAGATCTACATAAATGAAACAAGGAAACATTTTTGTATTTTTCAAGACATAAATCCTCCTCAAAATGTGAAATAATTATTAAAATGCAAGGAGTCACCTGTTTTTCACATTACTAGTCGCGGGCGATTTTACGTACCTAAAACGATAGATTACCCAATTTTCTCCCCTTTTAATGCCTTTTATTAGGCCGCCTCATTGCTTAGATGGCTGGATTGACCTCTGACCCTGAAACGTCACGCGTCGTTTTCTGACGGTTTTTACGTTTATTTTAGGGGTCCTATCCACGACAAATGAAAAAGCTGTTAATCTCGCACATTCTTATCATTATTTTAACACAAGATGCTAATAATATGGATAATATGCATTAGAATGCCAGAAAAAATCGCTAGAATTGTAGATGTAAATAATGAGAGGATTTCTAGTGGAGCACTCTCCGTATAAACTGAACCGCGGCCAAAAACGACAGTATAACCGGGAAAACGGCCCGTATAACAGTAGATTAATATATAATTGAGATATTTACCATGTATATTTACAGTATTATGGATGATCTTTACCAAAAATCCAATTACCCCGTAAGTAACCATGCGACAATTTCTCTCTGCTATTTTTAGTAACGTTGCGTCATTGTTACGCTAGTTGCCAGACAGAAACAACTAGTTTTTGTTTTTTGCGGAATGAACTGTTAAGTCTAGTATTTTAATTAAAATTCAATTGTAGCATGTGCGGAAAAAGTAAAATTATGGACATTATTATTGTATTAGTAATTTTATTAGTATATTGATTTTTTTCTTCACTGTGGGCCGACAGTAGCTGCACTGAATTTAATTCGTGACCGGTGGTTAACCTCGTCAACGCCGCGTGGCCTATTCGTTTATATAATCAGTGATGCTCGTTCAGTGGCCTTTTTCAGAGCTAGGCCTAATTACGGACGATTTTTAGACTTAATTGATCGGCCGTTAGCCTTTTTCATTGCTGCGTATTTTTAAAAAAAATGCTCGTTCAGCGGCCTTTTTTTTTTGGCGCTAAATAATCTGTTTACGGGCATTTTAAGCGTTTATTTATTTATTTTTTTAAGCTAGACATAGACAGATCTAGTTAAAAAAAAATAATCTAGCATGCCTGATATGGAACTTTAAAAAAAAAAATGACCGAACTTTTTAAAAAATGTCCAGAAGTAGGGAAGTAGGTCTGTTTTTCAATTTGCTTGAAGAAGGGGGGGGGGGGGAAAGAGAGAGAGAAGTGAAGACACCGACCATCTCGTGTACGCGTGTTCATTCTATGACGTGTACTATAGGCCTGCTGAAGTCACGGTGACCCCGTGACCGTGGTGGGATTTTTCATCCATGGGATAGTAAACGTAAGCAAGCAATCACGCGAGTGACGATGTTTGGAGATTTTTTTTTTTTAAAAAAATCACATACGTCATGCTTTCAAGATGAAAAAAAATGTAATGTAAAAAAAAAAAATACACTAATACCATGTATTAGGTTGAATTATGGATTTTTTAAAATAAAATATTCTGTTATTTCAAATACACCATTAAGTTCCTTACCCCTTAAGAGAACATTTGACACCACATTTAAATATCTAGCTTATTCGGTTGACGAGAAAAAAGATAATTTGAAAATTTAGCTAGAATGGAAAATGAATGACAAAACAAGAATCTTGCTCCTGGACCGGCATAACATGACGCCGTGAACTTGTGTGCACGAGCTTTTAATTCCCGCCATGGTAATTGCGTCAGCTTAGGTCATTTACTCACCGGAAAATAACAAAAAGCAACTGGTTGATAATAAAACTTAGATCTAGTTATTTTATTATTTATTAAATTCTACTCTACATTTTATTCATACCATTTTAAGAAATAATGAACACCTACATAAATCAAACGACCATAATAAATATTTTTATTTCAAATTCTAATTTTAAATAATAAATATGCATAAAATAATATGATAGTAATAGTTAAGATAGTTTATAAATGCAAATACATTTTACACTCAATCACATTATATTGAGTCAACAGTGTGGCAGCTGAGGTTCATACATGGTATTAGTGTCTTTTTTTTTTACATTACATTTTTTTCATCTTGAAAACATGACGTATGTGATTTTTTTTAAAAATAAAATCTCCAAACATCGTCACTCGCGTGATTGCTTGCTTATGTTTACTATCCTGTGGATGAAAAATCCCACCACGGTCGCGGGGTCACCGTGACTTCAGCAGGCCTACAGTACACGTCATAGAATGAACACGCGTACACGAGATGGTCGGTGTCTTCACTTCTCTCTCTCCCCCCCCCCCCCCCCCTCTTCTTCAAGCAAATTGAAAAAGAGACCTACTTCCCTACTTCTGGTCATTTTTTTTAGTTCGGTCATTTTTTTTTTAAGTTCGGATATCAGGCATGCTAGACAGCCAGCTGTATAAAAAAAATATTTTTTAAACTAGATCTACGTCTAGCTTAAAAAAATAAATAAATAAACGCTTAAAATGCCCGTAAACAGATTATTATGCGCCAAAAAAAAAGGCCGCTGAACGAGCATTTTTTACAATACGCAGCAATGAAAAAGGCTAACGGCCAATCAATTAAGTCTAAAAATCGCCCGTAATTAGGCCTAGCTCTGAAAAAGGCCACTGAACGAGCAACACTGATTATATAAACGAATAGGCCACGCGGCGTTGACGAGGTCAACCACCGGTCACGAATGCAGCAACGGTCGGCCCACAGTGAAGAAAAAATCAATATACTAATAAAATTACTAATACAATAATAATGTCTATAATTTTACTTTTTCCACACATGCTACAATTGATTTATAATTAAAATACTAGACTTAACAGTTCATTCCGTAAAAAACAAAAACTAGTTGTTTCAGTCTGGCAACTAGCGTAACAATGACGTCATGATACTTAAAATAGCGGATAGAAATGTCAGCGTGGGTACCTCATCCTCGAGGAAGATTTTAGAAAAAGTAATCAAAAATACTGTAAATATACATGATAAATATATCAATTATATATTAATGTACAGTTAGTCGAGCCGTTTTCCCCGTTAGTCGGTCGTTTTTGGCGGCGGTTCAGTTTTTACGGAGAGTGCTCCACTAGAAATCCTCTCATTATTTACAACCACGAATCTTGCGATTTTTTCTGGCATTCTAAGGCATATTATCCATTTTATTAGCAATTTGCATTAAAATAATGATGAGAATTTGCGATATAAACAGTTTTTTCATTTGTCGTGGATGGGACCCCTAAAATAAACGGAAAAACCGTCAGAAAACGATGCGTGACGTTTCAGGGTCAGAGGTCAATCCTGCCATCTAAGCAATGCGCCAGACTACCATGTATGAACCTCAGATGCCACACTATTAATTTATAAACTATCATAACTATTACTATCATATCATTTTAAGCATATTTATTATTTAAAATTAGAATTTGAAATTAAAATATTTATTATGGTCATTTGATTTATGCAGGTGTTCATTATTTCATAAAATGGTATGAATAACATGTAGAGTAGAACTTAATAAATAATAAAATAACTAGATCTAGATCTAGTTTTATTATCAACCAGTTGCTTTTTGTTATTTTCCGGTGAGTAAATTACCTAAGCTGACGCAATTACCATGGCGGGAATTAATAGCTCGTGCACACAAGTCCACGACGTAATGTTATTGTTATGCCGGTCGAGGAGTAAGAATGCTGTTTCCTCGTTCATTTTCCATTTTAAGATAATTTTTAAATTCTTTTTTTTCTTGTCAACCGAGTAAGCTAGATATTTAAATGTGGTGTCAAATGTTCTCTTAAGGGGTAAGGAAGTTAATGGTGTATTTAAAATAACAGAATATTTTATTTTAAAAAATCCATAATTCAACCTACCTTTTATAATTAAAAAATAATTTTGATGTTTTCATCAAAATACCTAAATTCAGATCTAGACTCTTCTACTTACCTTTACATGAAACCGCTCTATTTTTTTTAAAAATCTAGATCTAGAGTCTAGATTTAAAGCTGGAATAAAATATTGAAATTCAAAATAAGTCAGGACCAGGTTCACTCATTCGTCTTGGTGTACATGACTTTTCTAACGTCAACACAAAAAAGCTACCAGATAAAAATTTCGAAAAGTAGGCTAGCTAGAATCTAGATACAGATAGGGCCTTTAGATCTAGATTTGGAGCTAGGCCTAGGGAAGCTTTTTTACTTATTAAGCCAACCAGACTTATTTATTTACTAGGCATACTGCCTAGTTTACAGGTGCTGGAGCAGCAGGTGTACTCTTAGACTCTTTGAGACAGACTGATAGAATCACCTTCACTTCTTGAGTTGGACCTCTTTCTCTCAGCTTTACGCTCCTTAGCTTCCTTCATTCTCTGTGCTAACAATTTGGTGTAGGCCTCCTCTGCCTGTTTTTTCCCTTTTCCTGACCACCCTCTTCTTTTTAGCGCAATTTCCATACGGACAATTGCGATTATTAACTCGTCATTTCTGGATGGATGAATGGATGTATGAATGAATGGATGGATGTGTGTCCGCAGCTTTAAGTGGTATCTCCTCCTCAACGAAGCAATATCGAGGACTAGTTCCAACAGCAAATATGTTAAGCAAGTTCCAAGGATGATTGTGGGCCAAAAATTCCCGGAATTCCTTCCTGGATTTCCCGGAAAAGCCAAAAAACCTTTTTTAAAATGCAGTTTTTGCTCCATATCTAGGCAACCAGACCATTTAGCGATTTGAAACATTTACCAATCGATTCCTGCCATAATTTAGAACAATATTGCCGAAGAAAGTTTTCAAAAATATCCTTTCGTTCGGTTACAAAAATTTTTTTTTAATTATTTAAAATGAGCATCGTGTAGGCCTAGGATGATATTTTAAACTGAGTATCTTGTAGGCCTACTCGTTAAAATAAAACTATTTCCGTTGATATAGGTTAATATAGTTTTTTTTTACTTATTAATTCAAACGTTATTTTTGTACCCTATTAATTTATTTATAATTTATATGAGAGTGATAGGGAGTTACAATTACAAGGTTTTGTTTCGCTAGGCCTAATCATTTTTTCACATTTTTTAAAAACAAACTTGATCACTATCTATTTTTAGATAACATAAGGAAATTGCGCTTAAATTGTCACTAGACTTTTTATTAACTTGTTTAATGCTGCACGGAAAGACGACTGGGGTCACAAGTCGCTGAAATTTAGGGGCTTTGCTCTTGGCTTTCTTGCCTTCTTTCTCTGGAAAGGGTCTCCTAACAATATATTGTTTAATTAACAACATATTCTTTAGATAGATATTAGAGATCTTTCTGAATTTGTTTGCTCGCTGTGGACCAAGTCTAAGTTAGAGTGCTTAAGTTTAAACAGTCTGAGTAATTTCAAGTCAAAGCATGAGTCAAAGAGTTAACGTAATATTCACATACTCAAAAGGTGATTAGAACTGTAAAGGCTTCCTTTAAAATAGTAGAACTCTAATATAATATTTAATTAACTTTTGAAATTAAATTTTATAATTTAATTGCGATACATAACTTAATTTATAACGATTTTTTTATTTAAACGAATGCTATAATTTGTGGCTTTCTGTTTTTGTTGAAAATAGTAAAAAGAATTTAAAAAGAATTACTTTAAAAGCTAGGCCTATCTCCCCTGCACATACACCAAATGACGTAGTCTGTTTACTTTTCACAAACATTAATGTTAATGTTTATATAAGAAAATACGGCATCTGGACACGAGTGTAGGAAAAAAAAGTCACAGGAAAAAAAGTCACAGGAAAAAAGTCACAAATGTATATTTGCATGGAATTTGTTAATACTTGTATGTATTAAATATTCAGAGAGTGCAAATTAACTTAGGATTAATTAAAAGTAATGTAATGTGTGTAGGCTGTATACGCATAGTAATTTTTATAATTCACCTAAAAATATTTAGTAAGAATTATGTAGATTGTAATTATGTTAAACATAATATTTATAGCATTTAATAGAAAGTCCATGTTTTCATCGTGTTTTTTTTTAAAATTAAATTACCGTGAAATGGTAAGGTCATCTGAATTACTGCCCTCAACTCATCGCAACAATAGTTATGCTTAGTTCAACCACCTTTACTGCCCACATTTATCACGATCATTACATAACAAAACTTAGGATCAAAACAGAGAGCCCACAAGGTTCAAAGGCTGTCATCGATGCAAAATGTCAACAACACAAAATATGTTCGGACAATGCCTACTGAGGGGAGGCCGACCAGAGAATAGCCTACGGCGAAACATATGCAAAACACAATGATGTGACTAAATTTCTTTTATAGTTAACTCTTCTACTGCTTATTTAACTAAATACGTAACAAAAGTTGAGATTGTTGTGTAAATTATCTTAGAGTATTTTTACTTAAAATTTTTATAAACCATAATGCTTTTAACGTCTATAAATAATTTATGCTATTAAAAAATACAACCCACAACAATAAACATACAAAATTTTACAATTCTTAACAAATAAATCAAAATATTTCTTAAAAGATTTTTGTGACTTTTTTTCTGTGACTTTATTTCTGTGACTTTTTTTCCGATAAAATTTTTCCATTGTGACTTTTTTTCCGTGACTTTTTTCCTGGCAAAAACTGTGACTTTTTACTGTGTTTTTTTCCCAGTGACTTTTTTCCGTTCACCCTGGACACATCTAACGGCCCTAAGGCGTTTTTCCGAAGGTAATAAAGTATTTTGTTACCCTCCAGGGTCGGTCTACGACCTCACAAAATATTAGGGGGATCGTTCGGCAATTTTTGTATTTAAAAGTCAATGTAATATCTATCTATCTATCTATCTATCTATCTATCTATCTATCTATCTATCTATCTATCTATCCATCCATCCATCCATCCATCCATCCATCCATCCATCCATCCATCCATCCATCTATATATATATATATATATATATATATATATATATAAGTATCTATATATATATATATATATATATGTATATATATGTATATATACCTGTTACCTGTGTGTTTATTAATCATCATAAACCCGGCATTGCCCACCCAAACCACAACCAACCAAAACCTAAACAACAAAACGCAAACATAACGCTAACACAATTACAAATACAAACGAAAACAAAAACCTAACAACAAACCCAACCACAACCACAAACACCAATACAAACACAAAGAAAAAACAAACAAAAAAGCAAACGAAAACAAAAACCTAACAACAAACCCAACCACAACCACAAACACCAATACGAACACAAAGAAAAAAAAACGAAAAAGCAAACGAAAACAAACCAAATTCAAACGCAAAACCAACCACAAACACAAACCCAAAGAAAAAAACACAAACGAAAACGAAAAAAGAAAGAACAAAAACGAACCAAATCAAAACGCAACCACTAACGCAAACCCAACCTAAACACAAAGAAAACACTAACGCGAACATAAACGCAAAGTGCTCACAGTCTAGCCTGGGGCGGAATCGCCTGTTTCAGCTTAATAAACGACTATAGTACCCCAACTTATTAATAGTCTTTTGCACTCACTTAAACGAACGTAGGCGCCAAACCGAACACGGGAGGCCCGGGGCCCCAAATAGCACCCTGTCTGGGCACCAGAGGACGCCCGGATTCGATTCACTTAAAGACTAAAGTAACCTTTCTTATCCATACTCTATCGCACTGTTTAAATCGAAATTATGCACCATAGCGCTCACAGGATAGCCCAGAGCGCCAAATTGAACCTTGGTGGGGCGCCGGCGGACGCGCCTGTTTCAATTTAATGAACAATTATAATACTCCAAGCTTAACAGTAAAATACCTACAACATTTGCACTTGATCAATCCCCGCTAATTGTGTAATTATTTTTTTCCCAACACCAAAAAAAGTAATAAAAAGTAAATTCTTTACAATTAATGCAATGTTTTTTAAAGGGGAGTAATTGTGTTTTCCTAATTTATCAAAGGGAAGTAAATGCTAAAGGACTAAATATAAATAATTTTCAGACATAATTAGAATTTTCGTAAAAGATGATATTTTTAAAAAATTGAGTTTAATGAACATGCCGACAATTATTACTATCAGTTTGAAAAATGAAAATTACTTCCCAACACTTTCAATAGTAATTTTTTAACTCATAAATTTAGGCTATGAGCACGATAATAATCTAACACTTAAATCCATCGAAGTATGTCCACGACAAAAAAACTTATTACATGTTACATACAGAATTGAGCTTTATATATATGTATGTATATATATATATATATATATATATATATATATATATATATATATATATATATATATATATATATATATATATATATATATATATATATATATATATATATATCGCCGTGAAACTTAGGGAAGTTGGTGAGAATATTCCTGGGGAGGATTCTGCGGAATCACGTGTGTCAAGATCGGATGACAAAGCAGGGTTCGGCGAGGTCGCGTTGGTAAAGCTCATGGTTGCTAAACCGAAAAATCTCGAGTTCGAACCCTCGTGCAGATGAGGCTCGTTAGCTGGGGACAGCCACTCTTCTAGGAGTGACAACTCTAAAATCAAATAACTGTTGCCTTGTAGTTTGTTCTTGGTTGGACAAATATTGGAGTCAATGGTCTCAATGGCGCATAACCAATTGACACGTATACTTAATTGTGTCGGAGGGGATCCCTTCCAACACTAAAATTACGAACGAAGAAGAAGAAGATGATGACAATGGATGTGACAACGAATTCGACTTAATTGGATGCTTTATTATTATTATTTCGTCACAGATCGAAACGGGCGAGCGAAATTTCGGGCACTTCTAACCGATCAATTTCTCTGAAATTCGGCACGTGGGTCAAGACTTGAAGACAATGCAATAAAGATTGACTCAATTGGTTGCCTAATTAATTTTTTATGGATTAATTTACATTTTCTGCTACTATTCCGCACTATTATACTCGCATCATGTTCATTCGGTGCGCAATAGTTTTTAGTCAGGCTACTCTGTTGTATCAAAATTTAGATAAGTACTAAAAAGTACTGAAAAAAAATCATTAAAAAGCTTTTAATTACAAGCTTTTAGATAATCATGCACCAAAA